AGGGGCTGAATACCAATGAGCGCGGAGCGTGCCTTCAGTTGGACTCTATGTAACTTTAGTCTAGTGCGCTAATGTGAGCCTACCGTCGTGCCGTCTAGTTCGCTACGGACGAAGGGGCGTGTCAGGCGGATGAGTTTGGCGCGGTGCCAAACCCGTTCTCCACCAGTTGTTGAAGCGAGCAAGTGACAAGGCTGTATCATATCCTCCGTATAACTCGTTTTCTACCAATTGTTGTTGTCGTATACCCGCTCACAGCTGGCAGTGAATGGATATGGCGCCGTGGCACATTCATACTGCCTGACACGTCGTCTTCATCTGCAGCGAACTAGTGTATATGTTACCTACATTCCTACATTTTGGTGGTTTTAGGTTGTCCATCGTATCTTTCGGTGATTGCGTACATTGACAAGAAGCAACCATGTTTGCGGAATCTTCTGTAAGTGTCACTTCACACTGTATTTACTACTTGTACTTGGTTTTATAATGTTATATGTCATCTGAATCCTCTGGTATAGCCAACAATGAATGCGTTAATGCAGGATTCCGATACGGATGCTTCATCGGCGACTAGAGATCAAAAGTTGTCTGCGCTCGCCAGAACGAAACATGAGGACTTAAGGGAGACATTTGATGAGGAGTATGACCAATATAAGGTCGGTTTTCAGGTTCTTTGTTTGTTTTATTCTATGATGCGCGCTCTCTATAGCGTTAGTTCGGCCACTTGCCGCATTCTCTTTTTGTGTTCTACAAACACTTTCAATAGTTGTTATAATCGCATTGACCGGATTTTGGTTCCCCTTGTGACTGATTGATTGCTGTATCGTATCGTGGCTCAGCGGAACTTTTTGTTTAACTGTCATATTGAAACGCTTGGCGATTTACTGAACACTTCATATTTCTCGCTTAATGCAGTACTTGGTCCCGTACGTTACTTACTAGGAGATAGATAACGTGTCATTGACGTCACAAAACAATTTAAAGGCACTTTCCGTATTGCAGTTTGTAGGTTCAGTCGTAGTTCAGAAGCGCAATATGCTTAACATTCTACTGAAGAAGAAAACAGTCAAAGTGCTCTCAATAAGGGCCTCCTTCTTGCAGTCTTGCAGTTCGTCTTGGAGGTCACGAACTGCAAGACTAGAAAACGGCAGGAATAACGTAGGCCGGCATAGGCCTGTTGAGTAAGCATAGGCATAAATTCGCGCCTGTTTCTCACTTTGCCAGTCTTCATGTTTGCAATGTAACGCCTCTGCGATGGTTGACCGGGTTA